ATATACACATTTGAAACACTCAACAGCAATGTTTCTTTCCAGAAATCATGACCCAGTTACTTTAGATAACCCACAGACCTTGTTGTGAGCAGTTTCATATAGGAACCACTTTCTTTCTACCGAACTACACCTGCCAACTGTATCACTGCACAGAAGGAAGCATGCATCTACTGTTAGCGCTCATAGCACCATTAAGCAAGCTAATGTAATAGCTCAGCAGAGTGGGACGCCATACATTTCGTGCTCTCAGTTCAAGATCACTAGCAGGTATAATGTTTATTGTGTTCACCTTCTTAATTAAGCATGTAAGCATGCTAACATTTGCTAATTAGCATCAGCAGGGGCTGATGTCATTAGTTTTGTAGGTGTTAAGTCATAAATCAAGTTATTCATCCATTCACTTTCAACCACTTACCTGAAACGGGGTTGCTGGGGCAACAGGCTGAGCAAACTACCCCAGACGTCTCTCTCCCCAGCAATGCTTTCCAGCTCCTCCTGGGGGACCCCGAGGCGTTCCCAGGCCAGACAAGATATGTAATCCCTCCAGTGTGTTCTGGGTCTGCCCCGGGGCCCCCTATGTTTGCCCACCCTGGCAGTGCACCTGCATACAAAAATGGAGCGCACCTCACCCCCCCCTTATGCTGCATGAAAAGGCATTGGTCAAATTGAACGGACATTCACCCAATCACAGACTGCTGTCCGCGACCGGCCGCCGGCCTGCGAAATTTGAAGTCAGTCGGGGGTTTTGTCACTCACCGATGGCTGACATTGAACAACATTGACACACAACAGAGAGAAGAAGGAGGCAGAGATGCCAAAAAGGAAGAGGCAGCAGCAGAAAATTGACTTCTTTTTCAAGTCAAGTTGTCATGTAAGTGAATGCAGAGGAAACCGGCTCTCCGCCACCCCCTCAAATCAACATCATCTCTCTGTCGGCGGAGACCCTGCTCTCCCCCGCAGCCCGCACCACACCACACAAAGGAACTTAATGGTGAAAACTGTGATCAGAAGCTTACTTTTTTGGCGATCTACGGTGGGCTCAGGACAATCTTTTCGAGAAAGTTTTCAATCCAGCCGTTAAGTGCAGAGGGTTTTTTTTCTCTCCCAAGAACCTCGTTGCCTAGGCTACAGTAAATCCACCGTGATAACTCTGTGATACTAATTAAATATTACATTTTGTGATTAAAAACGTGTAAATTATGATACCGGACCTCCATTGTGAGGCTTGACCTTTTTTATAAACAGTCTATGAGCTTGACGTAAACAATGACGACTTCTGATCAGTCTCTCGACCAATCAGATGCTACAATTTCTTCTTCTTTTGTTTTTTGACGGTAGCATCCAATCAGGAGCAGCCAAAGATCAACTTGAGGCAAGATAGTTTTCTGCCAGAATTGAAAAGAAAGGAATAGCCTAATAATCCTCCATGATAAAATAAAGATAAATTGATAACTGTTGATAT